TCCCACTGACTGCAGCCATGATGAAGTGAAAGATGACTTTTACAGAAAGTTCTCTGAACTTCTTCAGAAAGCTAAGCGCTCAGACATAGTAGTCGTAGTGGATGACTTTAATGCCCAGGTAGGCAGCTTAAATCAAACAGAAAGAAATGTAGGTGGGTATTTTAGTATTCCGGCTCAACGAACCGATAATGGTGATCGTCTGTTGCAACTATGCTCAGATAATCGTTTATTTTTAGCAAACACTAAACATAAGGAGAGACATCGCCTAACATGGCGACCACCTGCACCAAACCAACGATGGACTCAAATAGACCATATTATTTATTATTATTTATTTATTTAAACACATAAATATTGGTACAATGAAGCACCAGATAAATATGCGCCTCACAAATCTCATTCGATTTGTGTGAGGGCTGTGATACTGCCCAGGTGCCCAGACTGAAGCAGGTGGTTTTCTAAGGGGGCCACACCCGGAGCCTTTGACCTGAATGTCTGATCCACAAGGCAGTGGAGCATCGTGAGGAGATGCAGTCCCATGGTAGCCGTTGACTAATGACAGGTTCATCCGCCATTCGTTCCATCAGAATACTGGAGCCGATGTGCACCATTGGTTTGGAATCAGGGTTTTCCAACTCCCCTAGGTGGACCCTCCGTGTCCACCAACCCGGTTAAAGCGCCGGACATTCGCTTTTCGTCCTCTCACTTTCGTAAACAACACCCCCGCCACGAGAAGGCAGTGAGTAGACCATATTGCCATCAGTCATCGTTGGAGAGGCTTGATAGAAGATTGTCGCTCGTATTGGAATACTTGTTTAGACTCTGATCACGCTTTAATACGAGCGCGCATTTGTCTGCGCCTCACTGGACGCAGGAAAACTACACTAAGAAGACCCATTAGGATTGAACTGGAGGACGAGAAAGCCAAATGCGAATTCCAGAAACAACTGAGTTCACATCTAGGCAGTTCTGTAAACAAGACTGACCCAAATACTGCTTGGAAAGACATACGAACAGCTGTGGAAACAGCAGTAACATCTATTAGTCATTTAAACCATAGGGCTCCAAAAAACCAATGGATTTCTTCTAAGTCTATTTCACTGATGGATTCGCGTAAACTCATCCCATCAGGCTCTGAACATGACGAAGAGCGTAAAGAAATTAGATCTAGGTTAACCAAAAGTCTAAGGAACGATCGTGAGCAGTGGTGGGCAACGAAAGCAAAAGAGATGGAAAAGGCAGCGGCTGTAGGCAACACCAGGCAACTATTCAGACTAATAAAAGAAACCGGAATTAAGAAGTCAAGTGTAAGTGAGACGATCTCGGAAAAAGATGGAACCCTTATCTGCTCTCAACCCAAACGTTAAAAACGATGGGCGGAACACTTTAAGGAGCAGTTCAGCTGGCCTTCAGCTACTGCACAACTACCCACTACTCCTAGAAAACCTGAATGGAACATTGAAGTAGGCCCCCCGACCCTACTTGAAGTTCAAAAAGCTATAAGTAATCTGAAACGAGGAAGAGCAGCTGGTCCTGATGGATTGGTTCCAGAGGTCTTTAAATATTGTGGTCCAATTTTAGCGATTAGGTTGACTAATATTCTGGCTAAAATCTGGGAAACGGATGTAATCCCATCCGACTGGTCACAATCATTGATTGTCCCAATATATAAGGGGTCCAAATCATCCTGCGATAACCATAGAGGGATTAGTCTGACTAACATAGCATCTAAAATACTAGCCTCAATAATTATCGGGCGCCTAACTAAGACTCGTGAACTGCAAACACGAGAAAATCAGGATGGCTTCAGACCTGGTCGTGGCTGTATCGACCACATATTCATCATTCGTCAAGTTTTAGAGCACAGATATGCTTATCGGCGTCCGACAATGATAGTTTTTCTTGACTTGAAAGCAGCATTTGACTCTGTAGACCGAGAGGTTCTGTGGCAGTGTCTGTCATTGAAAGGTGTACCTGAGAAGTACATAAACCTTTTGAAGGCTCTGGTAGATTTAGAGCTTACAGCGAACTGTCATCTGATTTTACAACATCAAGTGGTGTCCGACAAGGTTGTCCACTATCCCCATTTTTGTTTAACTTCATTGTAGACCTATTGATGGAAATAACACTCTCTTCGACTGAATTTTCAGGAATTGATCTCCACTAAGCGAAGTAGAATACACAGATGACATAGTCCTGTTTGGTGAAGACGCTGGCAAAATGCAGTCTTCTGTTAGAACTGAGTAATAATGCCAGGATGTTTGGGATGCGTTTCTCCTCCTGTAAATGCAAGTTGTTGCTCCAGGACTGGCCTGCGTCAACACCCGAACTAAGGATAAGGAGCGAAGTAGTCGAACTCGTCGACAACTTCACTTATCTTGGAAGTTTGATCAGCCCTAATGGGTTGGTGTCTGACGAAATCTCAGCACGGATTCAAAAGGCTCGTTTGGCTTTTGCCAACTTACGTCACCTATGGCGAAGACGTGATATCCGTCTATCAATTAAGGGACGAGTATACTGCGCAGCAGTTCGCTCTGTTCTACTTTATGGCTGTGTAACATGGCCATTAAGAGTAGAAGATACTCGTAGGTTACTAGTATTTGACCACAGATGTCTTAGAAATATTGCTCGCATCTGCTGGGATAACCGGGTAAGTAATAGTGAGGTTAGACACAGGGTATTAGGGAACGATGGTAAATCAGTTGATAAGGTGATGAATCTTCATCGACTGAGATGGTTGGGCCATGTGTTATGTATGCCTGAACACCGATTACCACGACGCGCTATGATGACTAGTGTTGGGGATGGTTGGAAGAGAGTTAGGGAAGGCCAAACCAAAACATGGCATCAGTGTTTGAAGTCACTAACTTCTAGTCTGAGCCATGTTGGCAGATGCAGACTACCTGGTTGGGGTCCGCGTGACTATCGTAACCAATGATTGGAGACTCTGTGTGATATGGCTCAGAATCGATCACAATGACGTAGGTGTATACACTCTTTGTCTTCCCTTAAACCTTGAGACTAAAACTGCTTCATATCTCCCTTCCTGTACTATATCCTTATATACAACCTTTCTTGATATACTACCACCACTAAATTAATTACTTCTATGAATCCGGTGTTCGTCTTGTTGTACTAACGAGGTATGGCAACTTGGACCGATGCATATATGTGCCTGGTCCTGCGTTGTAGCTGACTGACTGAATGAGTACATTAATTAAAGATTACAATAAAATATGAGATCTTAAAAGCGTTATTACTACACAACTTTTACCATAAACACTTTCAGCGACTTTTGGTTGTGTATGGTTTATATTGGTTTTTAAACTGATTTCATTTAATTGTTCACCTACTAAAACTGGTAAGTCATATATTTGACATTCCTGAGAAAATTAGGAGTATAAGTAAACAATGATTGACTAGACAAAAAGTAAATCTGAATATACAAGACAGAAATTTATTTTCGGTAAAGAGTTGTTGGGGTGATCTGTGGAAATAACCAATCATAAGCCTCGTTACGGAAGTTAACTGATGTAAATATTCCCATTTCACAGTTTATCTTTAGTACACAATTCGGGCGTTGACGCCCATTTTGCATTAGCCGATATTATCGCTTAATTGATATTTAGGCTCAAAAATATCATATTTTAATTATCCTGGAGATGTGTAATCCCCAAATATGAAAAAGGAAGTAAATATCAGAAAAGATGAACTTCCGTTACATTGGCTTTTTAGTGTCAACTCTGCTAATGGACTTTCAATATACTTTTACTATGATTTGTGTTCAGTGATGAGTACTCATTTCGTAAGTTTTCATCACCGTAGTTGATACATAGTCTTTTGACTTAAATGTATTTTCAGTGATACTACGGACATTATCAACAAGGTTTTCATTATCAGACTGGTCCTTTTAATCCAGTTAACGGGGCAAGGAAGAGGATACAGGTAGTCTCGTTCGTTAGACTGAAGTCTCGGTTGCGCAATATCAACATAATGCACAAAGATATCAAGTCAGCAACTAGTGTTGTTCCGTGATCTCAGTCTGAAACTGATATATACGCTTCCTATATCCGTACCCAAACCAGTTACTTGTGTGAGAAAACCAACAGTGAGCAGGATACTTTTAGTGATCAACTGAATCCAAAATATATGTATAAATCATTCATAAATATAGATAAATATCTATGAAGAAATAAGATAACATTTTCAAACAACATCGCGCGCCCATCAGCATTTTTTACCTATTTGGTCGATGTCTGACTGGAGCAGAGTTTTAGGAAGCTCTCTGTGTATTGTAATAAATGAATGAAAGGCTAAATATAACGCTAAGTTTAAATTCATTACAACTGTTAACAAGCGTCGGTTGAACTAAGTGACATGGGAATAAGGAAGACACAGACTTTACAAATACACGTCCACATATCACTTTATGGCTACGGTCATTTTTATGTGCTTCAATCATAACATATGATGGACCTCTTGGTAACTATGGTTACTAGCATTCTAGTCCTATCAAAAACATATGTAGTCAACTGCTCTATTTATATACTAGTCAGTAAACTTTTAGGAGAGATGACAATATGACTACTACAAATCACTGTAGCTAGTTGTGGTATGTAAGAAACTCACCTAAATAATCATCAGAGCTTGATCCTTAGAATAAATGTAGTCAATTTCATAACAAAAAACACAACTGGAGAAGTTTAGGATTTATCTGCACTTTAAATTATTGCTGTACACTAAATATTTAAGTACTTTTACTGATTAGATTTCAACAGTTTATTTTACTAGGTCCTGTGATAGTTTAAGTATCGTTTTACGAAACTTCCAATGACCATGTGTATCACGTATTTTCTATTAAACTAGCTTTTCTATTGCAAAGAGCGTACATTCTGTACTTTATGAAACAATAACCCATCATTCATGATTTTGAGAAGTATTTTAACCATATGTTAACAATTTATTGTATCATTAAATTCAACTAAGCAAACTTTACTTACTATGATCATTAGCATTTTTGACAAGAAGTTGATAATGCATCAAATTTTCTTCTAGTTCTTCGAATTTCTTGTCCGTTTCTTTTTTCATACCAAGCAGCTCATCTTCTAGACAGTGAATATGCTAAATATACAACCCTAATGACTATATGTTAGATTAAAACATACTCTTTTCGCAGCTATGTAAAGCTCCTTTTGACGACACAACTGTACAGAAATGTCATTCTTTTCGGCAGTCAAAAGATTTAAATCAAGATCCAATTTTTGCTTATCCACAGTCAAGAGGTCCATTTCTTCCAGAATACCAACAACAATAGGTACCAATCCACCGTATGCAGATTCACCGAAGACCTTCTTCATGACTTCGAACTCCCGATAAATTATTTGGGCTAATTGATAGACCCTGGGCGAAATCCGTTGTTCCTTTCCGAAATCCATGAGCTTTGTATGCTTTTGATATTGAAGTACACTCTTTATCACTGAAAAAACAAAACGGTATGGAATAAAAACCAACCTCAATAACGAAGTACTATCAAGAAATGGCTCTTTAAGAGTGGGAAATTGTGTCGTTTGTGTTTGAATTTTCTCACTAACTCCCCCTGTTTTGATACTGGGTAAATAACCATTTTATCTTTTCTTAAGCTTTACGATATGCTATAGAGAAATATGGCAACTGGAAGTAATAAAGTATCTGATTAAGTCGTAATACGCGTTACGTAATCGATGCTCCAAGGTCGGTGAGCTCGAACCCAAGTATCCCCTAGCTTCTTGGAAAAATGTGGGGTTCTGTTTAAAAGAGAACCATTATGTTGTCAAGTTTATTGATGCTATAGGTTCGTAAACATGACTGAGTTTTCCCGTGTTTGAATGAAGACTACTGACACTTAGTTTGTACACGATAATTCAATAGCCTAAACAAACGAAGGTGGAACACTAAATAACCTCATACAACAAGACACAGACCAGCTCTCAAGATCTCGCAGAAACTGCAATAGGATAAAGATTCCAAGTGAGAGGATTATGTTTTTCCGTGTTCAAAATTGCTCTTTATCACATGATACTAATGCTTGGAATTTTGTGACCAGTGAGAGTAATTAGCAAGTAAAGGGTTTAATCTCACGATAAAAACAGTGACATAGACAATCTTAGTAACCGTCAATATAAACGTAAAGAATGTCTTATTTTATTCCCTTATATCACACACATTCTGGGACAGTACGGTACCCAAAAGATGAAGCATACAAATAAAGTGATGGCATTGTGACGAAAATGTGTGGTCAAAAAGGATAATATTTATTAAAAACAATCAATCGAAAATATGAACAAAAAATATTTCTCACAGGGAAGTTCATTTCACTTTTATGATGGATTAAATAGAAAACTGAAGGATTACTACTAGCTTCAATCACGAATCATATCTGATAGCATCTCAATCCACTGAGTTCAATTATATTTATAACCTCAGCCGAAAAATCCTGATTGACGGACAGATATTAATCAAATATAGGTTTTCAGAAAGGGTTTCGTGGAGATTTAGTATTTTCATAGTTGAAAGCGTGAGTCAATCGAAGCTAGACCATCATGGAAAACCTGGAAACGGCCGTCCAGTGCTTCCAGATTTTCCATGGTGGTTTAGCTTCAATTGACTCATGCTTTCAACTATGAAAATACAGGTTTATTTCTTACCACAATACTCTATTACAAATTGACTACGTTTGCATTCTCACTTAAACCCAGGGTTTTCAAATAATACGCGGTTTAAAGTTTTCGGAATGATATTTATAGAACCCAGTGAAGTTGATGTTTCAAGATGGTGACACTAACTGGATGATCCTCATTCCTCATCCACTGAACATTAGAAAGCCTCCGAGAATAATGATCACCAAACAGAGTCCCCGAACATCTTCAACTTAAAAGGGTCAAATTTCAAAACATAGAGGAGTACTCCTTTCCTCCATCCTTTTTCAATCTGATATTCTATAACCGGCGAGACTAAAGAACATGGACGACCTTTGAACGAATCTTAAATGACCTTGAGAAATATTAGCCAATCAGAAGACAGTTAGCATACAGTAAAAATATATTATATAAAACTCAAAAATTAAAGGGGATAGTGTTCTTTTACATGAATCAAAAACTTATCAAGGTTAGATATAGGTTCAGAAGTTCTAAAATCATAGTGCATCCGGCACAGGAACTCATCCCTGTGGCTCCATAGTAGCCGACCTCTGAAACCATGATAAAGTCCAGAAAATTCTTTCAGCCTCGACCACATAGTTTCAGTGTTGTCGGTATGTTGGTATGGTTCAGGGTTTAAGATTAGGGTTAAGGTTTAGGGTTACGGTTTAGGGTTAAAGATGAGACTATGAATTATGGACGACATTTGAGCGACGCTAGAGTGAATCTGAGAGTGTAAACGTAATAACTAAGACTAAATGAGGGTCATAAACCCGTGTGAAGAATTCAAATAATGATTTACAGTTCATGGTTAAGGTTAGGAATTATACTTACGGTTTTCATCACGAACTGACATCAACTATAATGCCACAACTCTGTCCAAATGTATAATTGAGTTTTGCGCCAAAATTTTATGATAACTTATCTTGTAGACGCTTAATTATCATGTTTTCTCTAAAATCCGTTGTAAACCGACCGTACGTAAGCATCAGGTACCGAACTTAGCGCCGTGACCTTGAAAACCCACGAAAGCTTCTGATTGGCTCGTCCATGTTCTTTAGTCTCGCCCTACAACCTTACTAATATCACGACAACTTCGAAAACTGCCCAGATTGTTATAGGGCACCTGGTTTTCAGCATACGTAGATTAATCCTACCACTTACGCCACCACTAACCATTACACGTATACCCAGATACGTGAACTTTTTAACCAATTCTCACAGTTCACAGAAAAATGACTGCAATTAAAGGTCTTAGTCATTATTTCAGAAGTATTTTGCATCAAGGTGAGAGTTACGTCACATACGAACGGGGATTATTAACTGATTAAATGTGTTTTGCATATGTTCATCGTCGCACAGTAAGATGTCATCATCACACTTGAGTTTCCAAAATACTATCAATAGCAAATTTGACGGAAATTGAACCTTGAGACGGAATATTGAGTGAGTGAAAGATAAGTCTTACAACCAATGTGTATATTATAATACACACTAAGAACAACAAAATCAATCCCGATCCAGCCGTCAGTTAGCGGTATTAGAAATTTAGTTGCTCAAGAAAATAAAGCTTGATGAACCTCCCCAAGAATTAATATGAAAACATTAACTTTGGCACGCAATTACAGTTTATTAGACTGAACAATTTCGACATAAGACTAACAATTATAACAGTTGAAAAATCAAAAAATAGCACAATGGTATTATACTCTACACCTCCAGTTCAATTGAAGTTTTATAAATATACGTTTGGGACATCTTGACATACACTTTGCTCACCGTCTACTACCGTTACTAATTGACTTGAGCCATAACTTATTTGTTTATAAATATAAATTTATTTACTCTTAAAGGCCATGAATTATTCCGTTTGAAACAATTGATTTAGTACCGAATGGAGCTAACCACCCCGTAAGGTTTTGAGGGTAATTATGTCCCAATTCGAACTTCAACAGCAAGTCTTCAAGAGTTTGAACTTTATCAAAAAGAACTATAATTTTTAAGGCTAACATCGGGGTCATGAAAGAGCATTTTCGGTTAAAAACAAGCACGAAATTTCACTCCCTCAGAATATAGAAACATTAAATAACAACAAATGACCTTATTGCCCCATTCTTGCTTAGTTGGGAAGGATAACACTTTAAGTAGTCCCCCTAAGTACCGCAGAAATTGAATTGGATCCCAAGATCTGATTCGAAGAATCAGAAAAAATTTCACCACCACAACTCCCGATAATATGCTCAAAAAATATCAATTCCAACTACGGAAAATGTTTTAAGCATTTATGTGTGTTTTGCGTTTTCTACACCAAAGTAAGACCCTCCTACGTGTGGATTGTCATCGAGACGTACCAGTGATCTATCGAGATGGAAAGGATTAAGAGTGGCGTGAAAAATCATTGACATATTCACGGCCTACCGAATACCCCATTACAATAGCGCTACTAGTTTAGTAAACGGTTCTTTTAAAGTGTTGACAATGACGCCAGCAAAATCACAGATTTAAGTTAAGTTCGACATTCTCAGAAACATTCTGCTTTGTCTCAGGAAGGAATCGTGCACTGTTTCGCTTCTATAGTATTGTAAAATTTTAGGAAATATGTCGGAAGGTTAGTGTTTATTCTTCTCGTGTGTGTTTCCTCCGTGTTAATCGATGGTTCCCAAATGACTTCTTTTGATAGTATGTAGTAATAATTTGTTGTCAAGTGTAAATTTGGATCCATAACTACCATTTTAAATTGTACACTAGGTTGGCTATTGTTAAGACCCTACTTGAAGGAACAAAGATGTAACAAGTTAAAGTTACGTTTTAGGGTCTTCTGAATCACCTAATCTACTGTAGAATAATGTAAATATATCTTCATTCCTAAGCCTTTCGCTACAAAGCGAATCTTAAATTTGTGGATTTTCACTAGGAGCTTGTAGCTGTAAATAATTCCCCGAAATCAATAGCTTTCTGAGTGTTCGACATTGGATGTTGACCACGTTGTTCAAGTGGACTTGTTTAACTGAAGGCTTTTGGTCATGCATCCGTACCAGATCACGTTGCGAACCAGCGTGGGACACTGATCCTACGTTAACTAGCCAGATTGTATATTTATATATTGATAACATATCAAATATATCTTCCCGATCTCCTCGCATCTGACTTCTGATTTCATTTGGTTGGGAAAGCTTCGTATATAGGTGCTACTGGTAGCAGGTTGTAAAATCAGAATACTAGTCGTATCTTCAAGCTATCATCAGCGATAGCTTCAGGTAGAAGTGATGTATCCGAATCTCTCCACTTATGGTTAACAGCTTGAAGATACCATCAGTATTGTAGTTCGGCAACTATTAACCGGTAACACCTCTAATCAAATCGTGCCCCACCTAGTTAAAATCAGATGTCAGAAGCGAAGGGGTTGGAAGATATATTTGATGCGTTATAAATATATAAAGAAGCGATTGATCTAATCTGGCTAATGATCGTCGGAGATGTTCCCCACGCTGTGGTGTAACATGACTTGGTACGGATGCGTGACCGAAAGCCTTCAGTTAAACAAGTCCACTTAAACAACGTAGTCGGCATCCAATGTCGAACACTTAGAAAGCTATTGATTTCGGGGAATTATTTACAGCTACAGATCACTCCCCCCTTGTGAGGTATTGATGGCCCTAAAACGTGACCAGCTAGAAGTTTAAACCAACGAGTAAACACTCTTCTGATTGCTTTCTATGTTTAGCAGTGTCTGGTCGTCTTTCCTTACTATAGAGAGCCATGAAATACAGTATAGTAATCGCGAAACAAAATATGATCGAGATCTCAGTTCTTCATAAACTTCATCGTTCTTTTCCAGCCGTCATGGAAAAGGAAGAAAAATACGACGTGTTAGTGCATGTCGAAATACACTCGTACTTGCGTAAAGACACAAGGTGAGCGGAAAAAAAGTAAACAAACTAATACGCTAGCGACAATGTAAAAGCGATTGAAAAAATTGTATTTTTGGATCGAAGAATATATATAAATGAGCATATTACATTCTTTTTTATAATACATAATGCAAAGCAAAGTCGGAATTAAGTTTGTGTCTTATGTGCGATATTCGTTTAAATGTTCCGGAAATCTTACTCTCCTTCCAGAACGCTTTGTCTTAAGTTTATTTCCAGACGCTGATGGAGTATCAACGTGCGTGTTGGCTGTCGAATGGGGTACTACAAATGTAGGAGCCGTACCGTTCGATTGTACTGAAGGAAAATCGGCGTAGCTAGGGTTTCCTTCTAAGTACGCCGCTTTTAGGCAATCCATATTGATGCTGTCGTTTGTGCCGTACTTATCGACTACATAGTACTTAGGTTCGCGTTGAAGAACTTTGAAGGGTACTTCGTATGCTGATTCGAGAGGTCGTCGATGTGAGTCTTGACGAACGAAGACGTGTGTACTATGTCGTAAGTCAGGTTGAACGAAAACATCAGTTGATTGAGGTCAAGTGGAAAAGGGTTTAACAGAACGCATTGCGTTTGTAAGCATGATCGTGTAGGAGTTTAGATCCATGTTCATTGAAGTAGACGAAGGATCCACGAATTATCCTAGAAGTCGGAGCGTCGTTCCATAAACGAGTTGAGATGCAGTGTATCCAATGTCAGCTTTCACTGCATTCCACTGTGAAACGTTTTCAGCTGATAGAGAAGCTTTTAGTTGTCCGTGAAAACGTTCTACCAACCAGTTTGCTTGTGGGTGGTAGGCGGTCGTTCGGAAGCGCGTGATTCCTAATAGTGTAGTCAGACAACGGAAAAGTCCAGATTCGAACTGGCGTCTGCGGTCTGTAGTGATGGTTGAAGGGCAGCCGAAATTTGCTACCCATCGTTCGACGAAAGCGCGAGCCAAAGTTTCAGCAGTAATGTCCTTAATCGGTACTGCTTCTGGCCATCCAGTGAAACGGTCTACGCATGTTAAGAGATATTAGTATCCGTTTGAGTCGGGTAAGGGTCCTACCAAATGTAGATGAATGTGGTCGAAACGAGCGCTAGGGGTTTTGAAAGAGCCTAAGGGACATTTGTCGTGTCTTATGACCTTAGATTGCTGGCAGCTTACACAGGAGCGTGTCCACTCCCTCACGTCTTTATTCATACCAGTCCAGCAAAACCGTTCGGCTGTAAGCTTGATTGTTGCACGAGCACCTGGATGAGAAAGATTGTGTAACGTATTGAAGATGTTACGTCGATAATGTTTTGGTACTATTGGACGATCCCTACTTCTAGATGTGTTTCCTTACCTGTTTCCATCTGCTTAATACTTAGTTTAAGAGTTGTCGAGGATAACTCATGCTGAAGATCAATGTCTTCTTTTTGAAGCTGAGCGAGTTTAAGAAGGTCGATTCCTTGGAAATTGTTCAAGGAACTTATTAGAGACAAGGCAACTGTGACTACATTGTTTGCTCCAGAAATGTGTTGTATATCTCAAGTAAACTGCGAAATGTAGTCGAGTTGTCGAGACTCTCGCGGTGAGTACTTGTCTGAAGATGAACTTAAAGAGCAGGTAAGAGATTTATGGTCGGTAAAAAGCATGAATTCTATTCCTTAGATGGAATGTTGGAAATACCGTACAGCACAATACATAACTAGGAGTTCCCTACCGAACGTGCTGTACCTAGATTCCGCGTCTAGCAACCGTCTCAAGAAAAATCCTAAGGGTTGCCATGAGTTGTTAACCCATTTTTGCAAGACTCCTCCGATTGCTGAGTCAGATGCGTCTACGACGATACTAATGGGCGCTTGATTGTTTTGATGCGCAAGCAGGGTTGTCTTAGCGATTTGTCCCTTAACTGTGGAGAATGCTTTTCGGGCGGTGTCGTCTAAACTAATCTATTTTGCATTTCCATGAAGTTGGTCGGTTAACGGTTTCATAAGAGATGCGCATTTAGGTATGAACCGTCTGTAGAAACCTACAAGGCCGTTGAAAGTTCGCAACTGCCTAGTCGTGGTCAGTTCTGGGTAATCCAGAATGGCCGCCATTTTGCTTCTAAGGGGTCGGATGCCTTGGGCATCAATAGTGTGTCCTAAGATGTCTAAAGAGTTTGTTCTGATTTGGCATTTCTGAATGTTGACAGTAATGCCATGCCTTTGGAGTCGCTCGAAAACAATGTCCAGATGCTGGAGATGTGATTCTCTGTCCGGACTTGCTATTGGACAGTCATCAACATACACATGTACGAAATTGAGACCTCTGAAGACGTCATCTATGATCCTTTGGATGGTTTGAGCAGCATTTTTAAGTCCGAAAGGCGTTCGTAAGAATTCGTAGGGGCCGAAAGGAGTAATGATGTCGGTTGTCATAGGTATTTGGTTGTAAGCCTTAACTAAGTCGATTTTCGAAAAGACAGTTGCACCTTTCAAGGTAGCTGTCAAATCGTGAATGTGAGGCAACGGGTAACGATAGGGAATGGTTGTATCATTCAGACGCCGATAATCGCCAGTTGAACGCCAATTATTGCTGCCTTTTTTAGGGACCATGTGCAAGGGGGGTGACCAAGGTCTATTTGACTGTCGAATTATTCCTAAGTCTATCATGTAGTCGAATTCATTTTTAGCCAACCGAAGCTTTTCGGGAACCAGTAGACGTGTTTTTGAGAATACAGGTGGTCGTGCAGTCGAGATGTGATGTCTAGCATTGCTGATTACACAAGGCAATTTCGATTGCGGTTGATATATCCCGGAGTATTTATCGAGTAATGATTGATATAGGGGTCTATGGTGTGCTTAATTGTGACTGGGGATAATCTGCAACCAGAAAAAGGAGTTACGCAGACAGATAACTTAGTGTTACCGTCCATTGACCTTCGTGAGCGTGTGTCGATGAGTAGATTGTGGTATTGTAACAGGTCTATACCAATGATTGGCATAGAGACATCTGCAACAACGAAAATCCAGTGAATGGGTTTTTGTAAACCCACGTTAAGGTAAACGTACCTTTTACCGTATGTAGCAATCAGCTTTCCGTTCGCCGCCTGTAAGATTAAAACAGATTCGTGAAGTCATTCATTAGAATTGGCGGGAGAATGCTAACTTCTGCGCCATTATTGATAAGGCAGAGAACATTCGTAGTCACATCCGTGACGTATAACATACGTCAATGTTCGCCGGCTACGGTCGCCGTTAACGCGTGCCAACTGGGAAGTTTCTCGAGTTTTTATTCGTGTCGGTCGACTTGGATTTCGGGTAAATGCAGGGTTTTCTGCAATTTCTGGAAGAGTTTCCATACTGGTTATGATACCAACACCAGTCGGGATTATCCATCTCTCATCGTCTGGAGACAGATGGCCTGCGTGAAGTACTTCTTCGTAGGGGTATGTTACCATTTACGGTCATTACGAAATCGAAAAGAACATGTCAGTGTATGACACAGATCGGAAATGTCATTCTGTCTCTCTTGAGGTTCTTCTTGAACTGAGAATACCTCGACGTTAGAGGCCTTCGTGATCTCAAGTAAGCGGTCGGCGGATGCAGCCAGTTCGTCTACGGTGTTGCTTTGATACGAGATGAGAACTGCTTGCACTTATTGCGGAAATTTAGATAAGAAATGTTGTTTGAATAGGCGTTCATCGAAATTTCTTTGGCCAATCACCTCTCTCATCCTTAGCAACATATCTGTCGTGGAGCCGTGTTATTGGTCGATGCTATTAAGGAGTTGATCTGACCGTTTCGGAGTTTCGTATGGTTCCTAAACATCACTAGTAAACATACTAGGTGTTAA